TATATATATATATATATCTATTCCATAGATATCTATAGATATATGCAGAGATATGCATGTATCATGTTATCATGTGTGTCGTCAATCAACCAAAAAGCCTTTCTCCACGGTGGGAACGCCGTTCATATTCCGTTCATTCAGTCGTTCATTCATTCATTCATTCAATAGCCCTGGGCGACCCAGCTCCCCCAAACAGACGCCCCTGGAAAAAGAAAAGGAGAATCGCACAAGATTTCGGTACCTCTGTTCCCCCACTTCCGCATTCCACCCTTTCGGCTCTTTCGGGAATAGAGTCGGGTATATGGGTATATAGAGGTAGTATTTCGCAATCAGGCAGCCCCACGGGAACGGAGGCAACCGCAGCGTTCACGCCACGCCACGGCATGTCCATCACGCACTCACTCACTCATTCAATTTGGAGCTGTCGTGCCGCTGCTCTACCAGTACCAGGACCAGTGCCAGCACAGACCGGTGGCCACCAAGAGCAGGAAGAAGAAGAACAAGCAGATGAAAGCGCGTGGGTTGCCACCGAGTGACTGCTGGGATCGTGCACGCGACGTCGTTGGCGCGCTCGTCATGCGTGTTGTCGGGAGTAACGGGGCCCTTTCGTACGATGTCCTGTAGTTGTAGTGGTAGGAGGGTTGGTGGTATCTCGTCGCGCGAGCGGGTTGCGTATCCCCTCGGATCGTGCGAGTCGCGGTGGATGTCGGTTCTGGGTATGTACCTGGCATGGATATGGGATTGAACGATACCACGTGGCTCGGGAGGCGCTGTTGAGGTGGGTATGGAGGCGGGCGAGAGGTGAGATGGGGTGAGGGTGTAATGAATGGTACATATCTGGACGGAGATGAAGGTTGAGGTATATGCGAATACCTGATCGTCTGGGCCGACCGGCTGAGGTGGGGAGGTGTGCTCTGTGTTACTGTCGAAGAGCTGGTGATGTTGTAGACGTTGGAGGACGTGGGTAAACTTCGATGCGGTGTCCGTGTCGGTGTTGGTGAGGGAGGAGGCGTAGGGAGCAAAAGGCCCAGCGATGCCGCCGCTGACTCCGACTCCCTTTCCATGTCCATCTTCAACAACAACGGCGTCAGCGATCTCTCCCGCTCCCGCTCTTGCTCTGACTTCCCAATCGTCGACCTCGTCCCCACCGGCGACGGAATCGACCCAAAATTACAATCGACCATGTACTGCCGCACGTCCGCGCGCGATGGTTTGGTGAGGCGCACCTGTCTCCCCCTGATCCAGAAGGGCTGCAAGATCCGCCAGTCTGCCCTCTGCGGGTTCGCCGCGTCGACCCACGAGCGGCACGGCATCTGTGCTTTTTTGGGCGAGAGGTACAGGGTGACGTTTTTGGCCTCGGCGTGGGCCGGACTCGGGTGGATGGGGAGGTATCTGCGGCGCCGGGACGGGTTTCTGACACGCTCATCGAGGCCCTTGCCGTTGAATGATCTTATCTGTAGAGATTCCGCCCGTTACGGACGGACTGGAGTTAGTGAATTAACTCGGTCACTCAGTCATTTATCTTTCTTGTTTTTTTTTTTGCGAGAAAAGTAAAAGAAGGGAGGGGGAAAGTACTATCAAAAATATGACCTCGTCAGTGCCCGTTTCTCCTCCGCCGCCGACATGGAGGACCACGACAGGATGATTGAATAACTCGACTCCGATTGAGCGACACCGCTCTGCCAACGCGGAATCGATCTTGTCTTTGTCCGGGAGGTTGCATATTTTGCCGGCGACGACCTCGTGTTTTTGCATCTTTTGTCCGCTTTTTCTGCGCGTGGTTTTATTCTGTCTGTTTTGTTCTTATCTCACCTTCGCTGGTGTCTGTCAAGCTATGAAATAAATGGATCGTCCGTCTCTATAAAAGTAGATTGGATATATATACTCGAGAATTCTACCTCGAGTTCGAGTATTTCAGTGATCGAGATTCTCCTCTCGACGAGAAATAAGTAGTGATATCACAAGAGACCAGCCGAGAGGTATTGTAAGCGCTCAAGACAGCGTCGACCAGCGTCGACCAGACTCGAGGCCGTTGACAATTCCAAGGTAAGGCTGTCGAGCGGGACGAGGAGGGGTGGGGGGGAGGTGTATGTGTGGGGCAATAACTAAAACTCAAGCTTCTTTTTCAGACGCTATCCCCATAAGGATCTAGTGAGCGGCCCCCGCCGCGGCCGGCGAGGCGGATTTCTACTCGTAGGTCGTCGGGGGAGAGCAGTTCCGGACTAGATGCCGAATAGTTCCCGTACTTTTGCTCCGAACTTGTACAAATAGGGATGAGTAGGTACCTTGTAGAAGCTTGGCCACCACCGCAGGCCATCCCTCTCCACTTTGACGCCGCAGCACTTTTTCTGCCTCGATGATCTCGCGGCGCAGGTGGGCACGCAGGTCTGTTCCAGGTCGACCTCGTTTCCAGCCCGAACCCTAGAAGAGTGGCTGGCTACGGGGACGAGATCCTTCGACGGCAAGACCGAGTCAACCGGGACGAACACAAAAAGGCCGAACTCGAATTATGCTTGTGCAATCCGTGCGCCAAGCCACAACTACTTGTAGGTAGGCAGCGAGGTCGCCGGGGTTTCTCAGTAGAGCCTATGGTATAGGTACGAGTAGGTAGGTGCCTGTCATTGTGGAGGCATGCTGTATCCGGGACGACCGGCCAGTTTGGTCCGCGTGCCAATACTTGTGGGCTTGGTGTTCTTACTTGCTTGCTTTGACGACCACTACCGCCCCCAGCGTCGGCTTGCAAAAGTCCATCGTAACCATTACCACCACCACCCACACTATCTTCTCGGCGATATAATGTCCCGCATCGGTGGAGTGCTAGGCGGCTGAGGCGAGCACGAAGAACGCTGTCAGCCAAGGCTTTGCTCCATGTCTTGTGAACAAACGAGCCACATGCACAGCCAAGCCACCAGCTTCTGGCCTGGCCTGTCTGTCTGTCGACTCGGAAATCCCCAAAGACCGAATGGCAGGTCCCCCTTGAAGACTAGCCAAGTGGTACGTGACGTGAGAAATGGGCAGTGTCCTCAGCAAGAGCGAGGGAGAGGGTTATCAAATGAGAGGGTGGATAGACATGTTGCGGAAGAATAGTGGGGTGAGTGGGTGGGCGTAAATAGTCAGGTATTTCTCTCCCAGGCTAGGCTAGAAGAACAGCTCTTCACCTGTGGGCAAGAAGACCAAACACTGTAAGGAGTAAATGGTATAGGTGGCCAGGAGGACCCTGACCATGACAAACCAAGGCGCAGACGATGGGGAGGTATACCGTCTTTCATAGTAACGCGGCAAAGTTGAATGTCAAGTGCGCTGGATATGGATTTAGTCATGTATGAACACAGTACAATATGTACGAGGCACTTCCTAGGTACCAACGTATGTCCCACGTATGTAACCATCGTTGAAGGCCAGGAATGCCTAGTCTTATGGTTACTGCATTTGGAAAGGCCGCCACTTCCAGCCTCGTTCGGTCATTCCCATACTTCATGCCCTCAAATCAATTGCCTCGGAGGCATCGTCTCTTCTCCCTTAACTGCATGCACAAGGCTTCCCCTCTTGTTCTCATAGTTCCTCAAGGTGCCCGTCCCCTCCACAGTTTCTTGGACCACAGAATCCTCAAAGACGTCGATGTGTGTGCTCGCAAACTTTCGTGCACTGACCCCCCTCTCGAACAAGAGATCCAGTTCTGCGAAACTGCGACCGGCAGGCTCTGGCACACGGAAGTATGTGTAGATGATGCAGCAGAAGCAGATCCCCGCCCAGAAGAAGCCGGCGTAGTTGCTCCAGTTCCATTCACCGGGGTTGAGCATGTACGGTGTCAAGACGGAACAGATAATTCCGACGACGTTGTACAGGTTGCGCCCCAGTACGACAGTCTTGATCTGCAGACGGCGGGTGGAGAGCTCCGCAACCAGAGAATAGCAAACCGTGCCCACCGTCAGTTGGTAGCAGAGTGCCCAGACCAGCATGATCGATCCAGTAGCCAACGCAGCCGAGTCTCGGTGGGAATCAGGAACCAGCCCCAAAAATCCCATGATGAGCAGCATGGAGAACAATCCACAGAGTCCGTAGAGGTAGAGGGATCGTCGTCCGATGCCCCGACTCATCAAGAACCAGGCACCGAAAACCCCTCCCATGTTGATTCCATACTGTCCGAGGGCAAAGTCATAGGATTTGCTCGTGGCCAGACCCGCTTGCTCTAGGAAATATGTCGAGTATCCAGAGAAAGAATTGCCGGACAGGTTCTGGATCGCCCAGACCATGCACACAATCTCGGTCCGGCGCAAGTCTGTGCCTTTGAAGCAATCCCAGTACGTGGCACCCGCCGTGATCTTTTCTTCCAAAGCGGTTGTATGGACCATCATCGCAATGGTTTCGTCGGCATCGAAATCGGTTTCGCGGTTGAGTGAAGTCAATCGAAGAAGTGCTCTTTTGGCGTCGTCGAGTCGGCCCTTGCGCACAAGCCACCATGGCGATTCTGGTGCGAGGAAGATTCCAATTATCAGTGGTGCCGGCCACACCCACTGAATCGCATAAGGTATGCGGTATGACCACTGATCGTCTCGAGGGAGCATCGACTTAATGACCCCAATCCCGATCACCTGTCCCAGTCCCCAGCAGAAGTTTACATAGGTCGTAAGATACCCTCGGAGAGCCACTGGACACACCTCCGATGCATAGGTGATGGCTAGGCACGTATAGAGTTAGTAGGTGTGTTTTCGAAGTATAGGAGGTTCGATATGTAGTGGTGTGGATATTGGGGGCTCAAAGAGTTTCCAACAACACCTCATACATTGCGGCCGGAAAAACTTACTTGCGACTTGGAACATGCCCCAGGGGATTCCGCAGAGGATCTCTGCGACCTGGAGAGCGACCACAGTCTGTGCGGTGAAGAAGACCGCCGTGTAAATGGCAACGAGGGCCAGGCAAGCAATGAGGGTGTATCGGTAGCCAAAACGCTCGCAAACCAAGCCGTTGATCATAAGGCCAATTATTTCGCCGACATTGGCACCGTTGCTAAGACCTGCCTGCCACGGAGCCGGGATTTGATAACTTCCGTCAGGGAGTTGTTCGCCGTATTTCTTCTGGAACTGAGGGAACGCGTCTATGAAGACGGCGGTCAGAAAGCAAACATTTGAAAAGGAAAGTCGGGAATTTTGGGTCCAGGCACCAGATCACTCACAGAAATTGCTCAACAGACACACATCGTATCCCTCCATGGCAATGCAGGTCGAGATCAAGATGCTCCACCCAACGGCTTTTGGATAGAGCTTGATGCCTTGCCACAAGGTCATCTTGTGCTCCTTTTCGGTTGCTCTCTGAGCATTGTGGATGACATCGTCAAAGGTTTTCTGGTGCCCTATGTCGTCCCCTCGGACCTGCTCCGGGGTGCCATGGGAAGGTTGAGAGGAGATGACATTCTCCTCGACCGCCTTTTCCGACATGATCGAAAACGCGTCTCAGCGTGTATTTTTCCTTGCGCTTTGATCGCGTCAATCGAACAAAGTTAATGAGGTTGTGGAGTTGAGAGTGGTTAGAGATGGAGGTGAATGGACAGTGACTGGCTGGCAGCTCCGCTCACAAAGTCCAGACAATCCTGCTGACCAGATATGGTGAACAAGGACAGAATAAAAGGCCAACAATAAGCAGGTGAAAAAAATTATGAGTTGACCCAGTATAACTAGCCTGCTGTGACAACTCTCCCAACCTCCCCACTGATCAGCCGACCAGCTTCTCTTTATATCCCCTGGTCCAGGTTTTCTGCGGGGGCGTGGTGTGTTAACGAAGATCCCACGTTACACTGCTTTCTGGGGTAAAAAAAGGGCGATTCGTCTGGTCTGGGGGAATCTTGCGGCACGCGCGCGTCGACGAAGGATCAGGTTTTCTGTTCGCCCTTGCCAGATTCGTGAGGAGGTAGAAGCAAGTGGGAATTTTTGCTGATCTGGACATTGGCGTGAGAAAATCTAATCAGAGGGCCAGTCACGCGGGTCCCTGAGGATCCCCCTGGGAAATCCTGGGATGATGAGTTCTGAGTCCCTGGGGAACTCCCGAGATGCATATCCACCGCACCGCACCGCGATCAGATCAGGTATTGTCTTTTCCTCTCTCTTGCTGGTCACTGGTTGGCCCGGTCATTGTCACGACAAATGGGTTCGCCATCCGCCGACTGTGGTTCCACCGAGCTCTCGAGCTGTCTTCCATCCTTCTCCATCTACCTGGCCGTGTGCCTCGATGTGCTGAGGGCGATGAGGGGCGACCGTTTTGCCTCTTTGATTTTTGCTCCACCCCGATTTTCGCAAGGTAGTATCGCACAACATGAAAATCCGGGATCTAAGACCAACTAGGGACAGTCTCAGAGGATGCAGGTGAGCAGAGGTGCACGAGCGAAGATCCCCAGACGTCACCGATCAATTGCCGGATTATTGGATGGTGTTGCTTGTTCGCCAATCAGGCTCATTATTGTTTGTGTTCCTTATGGTCTGTTCAATGCTTCGTAGGGTGGAAAACACAAGCCTTCGGACGGATATGCACCGAGAGCGATGGGACACCAAGACTTGAACCAAGACTCGACAAGAGTTCAGGACCAAGAAAATACCAAGAGGCAGGCAAAGCGTGCAAAGCGGGCAAATGCGCATCTTTCCACATTCTCACTGTAACCCACGGTCAATTGCCGACGACAAATTGCGCCGCATCACAAGGATGCTACCCGCACAAGAGTCTTTTGCTCCCCGTCAGTCGTCGGTGTTGCCAGCGCCGACAGAATTCCGCCATGACCAACTCCGCAGCCAAGCCTCTCCTACAAGCAAGGGTGTTGGACCAGGGACCTGGGATAAATATTGCCTCGGCCATACCGAGCACAGACTGAAAGAGGAGGACAAAGGCATTCATTTGACTGCGTACTCGGCCCTTGAGCATTTACGAGGTTCTCAGCTTTTGTGCTTGATTCTTCTCTCTCGTGTGCTTGCGTACCTGTAGACAAACTTCTGCACAAAGCACAGCATGGACAAGTATGTACTACGTATGGGGCACACGCCTTACACGTTGCACGCGCACGACAGCCATTACGCCTGAAACGTCAAGATTCAAACACATGATACAGGTACAAGTTCAAGTATGTACTGTGTACCTCGTCGACAAACGCACCTGCACTTCAACTCCCGGACAGTAAGTACGTCAAACAAATAGTCATTACTGGAAAAAGGCCAGTGCTGGTGCCTCCGAGAATCAACTACCTCGCTAGTTTCGTGTCGCTCGCTTTTCAATTCATTCATATGCCTGCCTGCCCACTTGCCTTATCTCTTGATTTTCCCTCAGTTGGTTTCCCTCTTGGAATTCAATCCTGTCAATGGCGGTTTGTCGCCCCATGAAAAATGTTAAATGTTGCCTCCCAGACACAGACTCGATCGTCACTCACACATCGTCGACGATCAAACAAATGCCTCCAGACAGAGTAACCCGTCGACAAATTTCCCGAACTTTTCGCTGGACGGTCGCTCACGACTGACCCAACACTTCAATGCCTGTACCTACTTGGACAACAGGTCTGCTGGGCAAGGTGCTGCTCGCCTTTCTTTTCTCCGCGCCTCTCGACTTCCTATCCCCGTTTTCCGGCATCCGCAGTTCAAGCGGACCCAGGGTATAATCAAGCAGGACCGTCTCGTACCGGTTGTTCCGACATAGATTCTCAGCCTCGTGTTGCAACATCTCGGCATCCACTTTCAAGCTGAAGTCGATCAAGTAGCAAAAGGTGATTTCCAGCCGGCCTAGTTCGCCCTCTGACACCCCGCCCACCTTGCTAAAGCGAGCGTGAGGCCATGAGAGGTCTTCGAGTGCCTTCATGGCAACTCGCAATGTAGCCAACAGCAAACGATGCACATTTCGTGGAGTGACCGGCAAGATCTTCTCTTGTACCGCCAATCGCGTGATGTAGAGGGAACTCGCCAGATAAACCGCCGTCGACATGGGACAGTATTTGTGCATGCGCATGAGATAGTCCTCGGTAGAAATGGGAGGTGGTCGTTTTGAGTAAAACTTCCGCGCCAGAGCTCCATGCTGAATATACAGAGGCTGGGCGTTGGCCCCGATAATATGTGCCGCCGCCGTGGGTTCATGCTCGTGTGCTTCAGGTGAGCCTATAGGAGTCTTCACAAAGAGCACTCCATCGATATGTTCCTGATGCGAAGTCGACTCCGGTGGCCGCAGCTTGGTGGTTTCCTTCTTGGGAGTCTGCGTGGCAGCAGTCTCCGCTGTAATTGACTCGCGCAGCCTCGAGAGACTTCGAGCGGGTGACCCTCCTCGACTCCGCGCCGGCGGCGTGGGAGGGACATCGCCGATCATTTGGACGAGGTTGTCGATGTTGCGACATAGCAATTTCAGCGCTGCGACAGGCTCCAGCTTGAAGATGTCGATGTTCTCCGGCGTGAGATCGTCGAGCCCTTCCAACGACGGACTCTTGATCGAAGGTATAATGCCTTTGTCGTTCTCAGGCTCCGGAGGGGCAGGTAGTTTGGGCAGCGACGACGACGCCGAAGCCATGCCGGCAGCCTCCTCTTTCTGATCCCCCTGCTGCTCTGGGCTACCCATGGTATACGTCACGTATGTAGATGGTGTTTGTTTTCTTTTCCGTCCTTCCTTCAATCACCCCACCTCAATCATGGGTGGAGAGACGCGTGCCGCTGATGGTATCTGGAATGGGCGGCAAGTATTCCGCCACATGGTCGAGCTCGTGCCAAAAGGTGAAGGAAAGATTGTGCTCCCCGGGCGGCGTTGTTCGATGCCTAGCGTAGGGTTGCGGTATGGAGATGGGACTGCTTTGCGAGCTTCAGTAAAACGATGGTTGCCGGCAAGCGCAACACGTAATGAGAGCAAAGAAACTCGAGTGGGCGAAAGGCGGGACAAGGTGCAGCTTGGGCTTTGACTTTGACCCTTGGAAGTGCTGAGCACGGCTGAGACCAGGATGAATAAGACGCGGAGCTCGGGAACAAGGAAGCGTCGCCATTCACAGACCCTGAGGTCACGACCAAGGTAGAAACAACCAGGCCTTGCGTCGGCACAAGGGGACAGTTGTGGTATTATCAGGAGCTCAAGGGTGTTTTGGCAAATGGTGGAGGGACGATTTGGCGTGCGCGCGGGGGGGATGTTGTAGTGAGATCCTGGTGGTGTGTATCGCAGACCAACCGACCGTTAAGCCGCAAGACACAATCTCCTATGACAAGGAAGATTGTAAGGAGGTACTACAGCTTCTCACTTTGTACAAGTGGTTCTCCTCCAAGTATGTGTATGTGCGTGTGTGTGGCAAAGCATAGCATGCGTATACCTCGTATTACCACCATCTCTGCCCCAAAAAGGATTCGACGTGTCACGCGCCCTCCAAAGCCAGAGAGGCAAGAAATCTAGAACTTTTTGCGCAGCCTGAGGATTCATCCGAGGTTGGCGCCTTGCTCCTTCGCACACATTTCCACCTTCTACAAGGACACACTACCGCAGCTTGACACTCGATATCTCGTGCACATCTCTTGAAGATGGGTAGCCTCTGCGTCAGCAACAACCCCCTTCGATGCTGCCCTATCACCCTATCGCTCCGATGTCATAGGCACAACAGGGCAACTGGGATCTTGAAGTGATCGGCGCCCAATTCTAGACTGGACTGTGGGATGCAGTGTAGCCAGCACACCCGACTGGTTCAATGGGTTGCATCTGCAGGCCCGCGACTCCCAAGCGCCACCAGGTGTTCTGACCGTCCTGGTGGAGACTGCACGACATCCCTCCAGCGATACCGAGGTGGGCTATTGAGGAAGAGTAGATCTGTCGAAGAAGAGGAGAAGAGGGCCTCGATCACTATTCTGACAATCTATTTAACACTGTTTTGATGACATCCATATCTCTTTGGTCCATCCCCTCCCTCACAATCCTTCATCGAGGCCCACCGATACAAACAATAGCCCTGTGCCGTGGGCTGGTCTTAAACGAATGACAAAAAATCGGAATCTCTTCATGGCACAAAATGTGTTGCTGGCGCAGACCTTCCCTTCAGCCCAAGAATGATATATGTATCTCTTTGAAAACCTCCTGGAACGCCGTTCCTCCTTTCCCTGCTTTGCAGCAATAATCCCCGTATCTATGTATCCTGCCCGTTGGGTGCCCCGACTCCTGTTCACTATACATTCCTTTCCGAGACCTTTCTATCGTCGTTGTCTCCTGTCTCGATCTCGATCATGCTCATCGTCGACGATGATGATACTTTGCCGTCGCGGACGTCGATCCCCGGTCCCTGGTCGTCGTTCCTCTCGAGCTTGTTGGGTGCGGAGATGGTCGTAGTCATCTCGAGCCCGGTCGAGAGCCGATCGGTTTGTTTCACGAGCAGGCACCACGGCAGTCGGGTTGTGCACCACGACGCCTTGGTGGTCTCGTGGTCGTCGGGTCTCCACAAAATGCTCTCGCTCCTCCTGGTGGAGGCGGGTTTCACGCTCGGCAAGGTCTCTTTCACGTTTCTCCAGAGACCTCTGGCGCTTTTCGAACTCAAGGTCCGCCTTGAGTCGATCGGCCTTTTCTTTGGCGGCGGCGGCAGTAAGCTCTGCCTGTCGTCGCTTACGCTCTTCTCGCTCTAGATCATCACGCAGCCTCTGGACTTCCGGATCGGGGCGCACACGCACATATTCCCGTCGTGCGCCGTCGTGATCATCGTCCATGCGTGCTCCGGTCATATAGTACTTGCCGCTGTCGCGCTTTCGTGGTGGAGAGGGACTTTCCACCTTTGGATGGGCGTCCTCATCGTCGGCAGGCTCGTGGATGACCTTGACCTTGTGGTGCCGCGGAGACCGTTTCTCCACGACATACTCGATTGGGTCATCCTCCTTGTGAGGCTTGGTCGTCTTCGGTGGCAGCTTGGGGGGCAGAGGGGTGAAGATGTTGTCTTCCAGGTTGGACGACATGGTGTGATATGGGCCTCGAGGAGGCGAAGGAGGCGGGCGTGGAGGACTCCAGCTACGGCGCTCTGGCCGTCGACTTCGAACGGGGACTTCTTCAATGATATGGACTCTCTTGGTGCGAGTCCGGAAGAGGTTGTAGAGCTTGGATCCAGACGTCAGCCGCTCTCGCTCCGGTGAGGTCGTTCGCACGATGCGGTATGTACGCACCTGAGGACTTCTTTCAATGACAATCGGTTCACGTGTATACTCGTCGTGGCTTCTGCGGCGCCTATCAGACATCCAAGGGCCGAGATGGGAAGGTCGGGTCAGTGACTGAGTGTGAAGACGTCTGGAAGTTTGTCTCTAGCAGCAGGAGGAAGGGATGGACTCGTATTTGGGTGGGTGAATGGTTTGGTATTGGATGTGGAAGTGGGAAGTCAAGTGTTGGGATCGCCAATGATACTGAACGAGTGATGTGATTGACAAGTGAGGGTCTTTATTGACAGAAAGACTTTTGACTGATGCCTGGACTCATATACAGTTGCCGGTACGGGACATTGTGAGAGATGGTCGGGTTCTATCCCTGGTCACCCGTAACGATCACAGAGAAGTAGCTGGAATACCGGTCAGCAACATAGTAGTCCGGAGCCAGACAAGTTCGCTTGTCACAAGTATATCGCTCGTCCGTCCGAGTTCAAGGCTGTGACCTCAGCCAGCTGATTTGGTGCGGTCGGTATGATTTTGCACTAGGTTCACAGAAACAATGGGTGTGGATGGTGGGCAGGTCCCAGACCGCAAGGGGAAGCGGACACTGGTGATTGGAGCCTTTGGGGTCGGAAGCAAGGGATGAGATCCTTCGGGCCCTATGCACGGCTGAGAGATCATGGTGCAAGTGTCAACCAGCTCAAGAGGGCGACGACATTTTTGGGCAGAATTTTTTCTCTTTGCACGGTGGTCCGCAATGGGGAAGATAAGGCAGCAGGAGGGGATTTTGGTCAAGGGTGGTGGTGCTTTTGGTCCCAGGACTGGGATGGCCAGCCTGGTCCGAAGTGTATTCGCATGGCGGGTATGGGACAAAAACATGTCAACCCGGCTTGGCCATCACAGATGCCATTTCCCACCTGATCGCTGTCTCTCTCATGGGGCTATCTTTCCTCCGAGATGCTCGCCAGCCCCCTATTGTTTTGTTTCGTTTGTGGGCTTGGAATACTGAAGAGGCATTTCCACTCACCACCACCGACACGGGTGGCGGCCACCAGCGGCACCAGACGGCGAATTATGTCAGCGAATCTGGGGAATTCGGCCAGAGAAGGGAGCGGCGTAATGTTCCTTGCACGACGCTCCGAATCTGTGGCTTCTCCCCGTGCAATGGTAGCAAGGGGCCAACAGTGATGTAACCATAATAGGGGAAAGGGGAAGGGGAAGAAGCTCCCAGTTCCAGTTCCAGGGGGGGATATGGACTCAACGGGTGCGGCTCTGTGGCTGTGCGGCCCCCAATTGGCAATCAGGCTCCCCGTCTCAAGCAGAAAAGTCGACGAGACAGACCACCAAAACTGGGCTTCTGTCGCCTTGTTGTGGCACTGCCACCACAGCCTGACCTGACTTGGCGTCATTGAGGAAATATTTCATTGGGGTATTTTTCTCTTTTTCATTCGGCTAGATCCGGGAGAGAGTCCCCCCCGAGCCTGTGATGGCTCTTTGAAACAGTACAATGCAGGGAAGCGCTTCGGATGTGTGCCCAATTGTTCCAGCTCTTCCCCTTGCAGCTCCGATCAAGCTTCCATGACTCACAATCTATCCTGGTGATCTCGAGGCTTGAGTATGGACTTTGGTCCGGGATTGGCTCAGTTGCCGTGGCCCTTAATATCGGCCTCAGCCGCATGGGCCGAACGGACAAGGGGTGATTTGGCCGCTTTCTGTGCAAAACTCCCGTGCAGAAACCATCATGTTTGAGGGTGGAACGGTCAACTGATCACTGATTGTTAAGTCGAGTATAGGCACTTTTCTGGATAGACGTCAGGGCAGGATGACAGGGGTGAGGGAGTTCCCTGTCGCGCTGAATGGGCGGAGCTAGTTGGGAACAGGTTGCGGTCTTTTGTTGGTGGCTGAGAAGTTGGGCAAGGCTGACAAGAAACGACCAAAGGGCCCATTATTCGTCAAGCTGCGTTTTAGTGTTTATGTCTGTCGGTCACTTTTCCCCTGCGCAGCCGCTGCTTTCGTTGCATTGACGCTGTCAGACGCATGGAGAGCTCTATCCTGTCACCCCTCTTCTTCCACCAACCCTACATCAAGTGGGTGCCCAAGGGAGACCTGGTCACATACAATGGATCCATGTAAGTACCCACAGGTTGGGTGTCCCCTCAAAGCTTTCGAACTTATCAAGGCTGATCTCTGCATGACTCTGCCAGTGGCGACAAAGAAATCATTTGAGCGACCCTACCACATACGAGTACTCCGTACAAGCGAACGCACAATGGTGGAATGATGTACATATCGTGGTCGGAGTAAATGCTGCTCCGATTAACCAGGCTGCCAGGCCAGTATCTAGAAGCATGGTATACTCGGGTTTCTCAAGCGATCTCTTGGAAGCTTATCCCTCTCTGAAATCCAACAATAGAATGTACTCGTATGGTTTGCTGCCAGGAACGACTTGAAGCGAACTGCCTCGACAACCGCCAACTTCGCAGCCTCGCCCCCTTTACTCGTTAATCTACACTGGTGCAGTGCCCTCAAGGACAACCATTACAATCTTGATCACATTCCATTTCGTTACAACATTATTTTGGTGTCCTGGCGATAATCCCTATACAGATGATGCCCGCTTAATTCCCCTAACCATGCACGCCATGCAAGACAGCTTCAAAGCATGGGTGCTCTGAAAAACCTTAACCAACACGAGCAAACACATAGACGAGCTCGTCTTTCCACGCTCAATTCCAAAGACAATAAACCAGAATCCCGCCCTCTATCCTCTAAGGAGTCGGCGAGACGGTAACATGGCGAAAAGTCACGGCAAGTCTCGCGCGTGGAAACAACAAGATCTTCACAAATGCCGCAAGCAAAGGCACAAGCAGAGTTCCCTGACCATAGAACGATAAGAGCCTATTGAGCCCAGCTTCCCTTCCTTGCCCTCGCGCCCCAGTCCTCGTCCGCGCCCAAACATGCGCGCTTTCGTTCATCCGCGAAATTCGGACTCTGTCGGGCCCATTCTCTCACATATAACCTCAGCGCTTCCCATCGTTTGCATTTGCCGATGACTTCAGACTCATCCCAGCCATCGCCCTCTGGTGCACCCACGTACCCCTTGGCATCAACGTTGTTATCATCTTTGCGGAGTTCCTCAATAGGGATGCGAGAGATCTTGCTGAGTTCCTCGTCAAACATATGTGCGAGACTAGGGTATCCCAGACTCAGGTAGTTATAAATTTGGGTAATCACACGGTTGGGGAATTCATCCTCGATTTGTTTTTCGATCCGTAGCTTCTTGTCGATAGTGCTAGTAAACGGATCATCGCCATCGTGACTCCGTGGAGGAGTCAGAGGAAGAAAGCCTAGACCCGAGAAGTGCTGCCGCCGTCGAGCAGGAGTCTGATGTCCCCGACCAGGTGTGCTGGCTTCGAATGGGTTATTTCTTTCCCCCGCTGGAGTTACGGGAGACGGTGTCTGAATGCCACTACGCAAGCCGTTCTGCGGGCTCTGAGGTTGCCACAGCCCAGCTTGACACATGCCCATCCACAGCCCGTCGCTCGCATTGTTCTCACGCTTTTTGTGTGGTCTCCAAAGTTCAGGGCTAATGGGTACCGTCGATTCATCATCGCTGTCCGCAGTTCTTGGTCTTGGGGGTTGATCAGGATCGCAGCGCGTCATCTTCGGTGAGATGGTGAACGGGAAGACAAGGTCGTCACCCAGCATCGGGGGTGACGCAGCGGCCCTCATACGTGCCAGCTCGGAGTCCTCTTCCTCTGCTCGGGGCTTTTTCGTCTTCTTCAAGCCTTTCGCCTCCAATGCATGTCGGGTCGCCAGCGCTGTAGCACTGAACCGGCTTTGACCAGCGGTGTCAGCTTTCAGCTCTCGCTTGGCCGCTTCTAGCTGTTCGTGATGTTTTCGCATATTTTCCAACTCTAGATTTAGCTCGGCCGCCGACGACCGTCGGAACGTGCGCGCATCGGCCCCCTTTTCACCCTGAAACATTGGAACTGGCAAAGGACCATCTTCTTCATCTTCACGAGAGATGGCAAAGTGATCCACGGGCTCATGCGGCCGTTCATTGATGTAGGCGGCCATTGCCTGTTCCTCCAGTTCCTTCTCGCTCACCGTCTCTGCCGCCAAACGAAGGACATATTCAGTATAGCTATCCTTTGCACTAGGTGGTGCTCTCTTCGCAAATGATTCCACAGATGAAGGAGAGTCGCTTAGCGAGGGTGCTTCGGAGCCTTCATCTTCTGTGGTCGATTCAATTATGGGCAAATCAGGAACAGCAAATGAGTGTTGGCGTGATATTTCAGGATTCTTTCGAGCCAAAGCCGCCGCAGAGAAGCGCGAGTCTTCAAGTCCTGGGACGTCTTCTGCCTGTTCTTCCTCTTCGCACAGAGGAAACGGCTCTCGTCGACTGGGTGCAGGTGATGGTCTAGTTTCAGCGGTGGGAAGGTGAACACGGCGATAGGAGCCTTTGGCGGTCTCCAATAGTTCTGGAGAGAATTTGCGGGCTCCGGACGAAGCTCTACTAGAAGCAGAGGAGTTACCGGTTGTTTGAGGGTATTCGTCCGACCCTTTTGCATCTGGTTGCCGTCTTCCTCTCGTGGTCGTGCTGGTCTCTATAGGCTCCGGGACAAACTTCCGGCGAGGACGACTCGATGTCGTCTCTGCTCCGTCCTTGGATTTCTTTTCCTTGGAACTCCTTGTCGTCGTCTCAACCGGTTCTGGTGCAAATCTCCTTCGGGGTTTGGGCGTCTCCTCTTCTTGGGGACTGTCTCTGTCCTTGTTACTTCTGCTGCTTGTTTCGACAGGGTCCGGGCTGAATTTCCGTCTCGAGGACTGAGAACTCGATTCTATAGGTTCAGGCGGAAACCGTCTAGGTCCCGCAGAAGCACCGCTTGCGTGCTCGCCAGGAACGGAGGAAGGATCGTTCGGTGATGGAACGGCGTTGATGTTGTATTCATGTGCGGGCACCCCTTCAAACCCTCTGGCCGTTGTCGAGTCCTCGACACTGTCAACGATATTCCTCTTCCTAGAACTTCTGAACGTCTCCTCCACCGGCTGAGGCAAGAACCTGCGAGGTTTGGTCTGAGGAGGAGGCATGGGGTATTCTGAGTTTAAAGATGGCTTGTTGGTAGGAAGTGTGGACGAGGAGTGGTCTGACTGGTTACGGGCTGATCTTGAGCTTCTGACGGTAGTCTCAAGAGGTTCGGGTGCGAATCGCCTGGGCGGAGGCGGGGAGGTCGATGCCATAATCTAAGCCGTGAGGGTGGTGGAAGCTTGCCTCATTTGACAGCCCATGCTTTGCTCAGGTTCCTTTCTTGGAAGGGGGAGGGTTTCAGGAGCACGCGAGCATGGGATGCAACGAGAGGTAAAGGATGCGCAAGGGCCAGAAAATGCGGGGATCATGTACTCTTAGACGAGTATTCGGGTATATACGGAGGATGTTGCGGTTGTATGAGAAGGACGCGAGGGTTGATATGTGATAAGGCGGAGCAGGGAGACGAGGAAGGATGAATGGAGGGAAACGAACGAAAGCGGACAAACAACCAAGTCCTCTATTTGATCTGGCGGACGCACGGGGACCTTGACTTGAGACACAACAAGTCTGAACTCAAACATGCAGGACGTGCGTGGGATGGTTTGTTTTTTTCGTTCTGATTCAGAGAAGCAATGATGGGCGGACGAACAGGAGGAGGTGTTTTTTGGAGAAGCGATTCTAGGACACGAATATGGAGAATGGAATGATGATACCAGGGACGAAAGATACAGTAACCACCAGTGACATGCGTCGTAGCGCTCGTAGGCTTTTTTGGTGGGATGAAGTTGAGCGCGAGTACCCGGTGGTGCAGTACCTGTACCAGCCGTACCAAGCGAAATGACGATGACGACCTTGTTGGGCTCTACGAGGTACGAGGTCCTCCGTACTCCGTAGGTCCTCAGTATAACAGACCAACGTCACCACCCGGCGTCCCACTGGCTCTCGCTTCTTTTGGGGGGGCAAGGAAGAGGGCGTGGCCTTTAACTGAATCTGCACTGGATAGCCCCGACCCTCGCCCAATTTCCCCATTTTAGGGGGTTCAACGGAAAGCCTTAGTAGCCTCTAATCTTGCAAAGTAGCCGGACTTGACTAACGCTGAGAACCTGGGCTCGCCTGGGCTAGACTTCTCCTGCTCACTTACGGTCGCCGGCCGGAGGGTAAATCAACCTCAGCACTCGTCACTGATGTTGTACAAGGACTCGGGAGAGTACCTAGGTACTCTGCACCGAGTACTGATCGCCCTGTATCGGACCTCTGCTGCTCTACGCCGTAACCAAGATGGCGGTCTGATTCCCCCAGACTCCAGATCGACAGGACTAACTGCGCCCTCATCCATATGCGAGGTCTACACCAAGTAGTGAAAGGCGGCGCCACATGAGACTGGACTGACCACGGCTGACCTCTGGACAGAAAATCAAATACTGCCGAATCAGTGTGCGGGACTGACATCGGGACGGTCTCGACATGCATTTCAACACTTCTTGTTTCGACCATATGCTGATCCAACCAAACCAGCTGATGCCATGCCCATGCCATGCCTTGCCTGACTCACCTTGCTCGGGCTGATTCACCCGAGCCGCACTTTTACCTCTTTGCCCATCTCGAGCATCTCTCTAGACCGTCATTTCCCCTGCCTACGAATACGACCGCCGTAAAAACCCAGGATCCAAAAGAACCTGGTTTGAAGAAGTGTTCCCCGGATTTCGTCCTGAATGGCCAGGACGTGCATCACTGGCGGATGTCGTCCACCGCTCTCTCGATCCAGATCCATTCGCGTCCCCCTCTCACCCGACTTCTCCCGAATCTCTTCCAGGGTCGAGCATGAGATCCATGCACCCTTGTCACATCTACCCATGCAGACCACTGTAATAGATCTACTCTGCTCTCATTCATGCGTCCTCCCGTGCGGGCATCAATAGTTTCAGGCAGACCGCAACGCAACGGACAGTTGCAGGCATGGTACTATGCAGTCAGGAACATGTTACCCCGTATTTCAGGGTTCAGCGCAATGGTGCTTTGGTTCTTTCTCATCCAGTCATTCCCAATGGCGGTCAAGTCTACGAATACGAACAACAGTCCTCCATCGCCTGCTACATTACTCTGTACCAAAAAAAATCAGACCGTAACGAGGAAAAAAAAAGAAATCAGCCATCATCCTCCATCTCTCTTATCTCCTTGTCTTCCCTCGTTGTAATCTTGGCGAGTCCGGGCTCCAATTGCAAGCTGCTGGCCATATCCGACGAGTACTGGCCCGTGCCCTCCGAATTACCTGATCCCACACGTACACTGCGTCTCCTCTCGCGCTGGTGCACGATTCCCGGAAAGGCGCGTGGCTCTTGGCCCGAGATATGTGCGTCTGCTGGGTTCGAAGTGGTGGAATATAAGACGCTCGAGGTCCTTCGAAGTCGTGTGGGTGAAGTATTACCCGCGGGCCCGTTTGGGTTTGACCTGTACAGCGCTGCTTCCCTCTCTCTTTCTCTGGCTTGCTGAGCCGGGGCAATCGAATCAGCCACCGCAAACGACGCATAGTACTGCCTCGGGCTCTCCAGACCCCGGTATATCTCGTCCACTGGCGTTGCTGGGTCCGACGGATCGGGCAAGTCAGGGGTACAGCGATCGAAGTGACTATAGTCCTTTGTATATTTCGCAATGAATGCGTGCTCCGCCTTCAGCGTCTCGTGTCTGAACGCCTCTCGGACGTCGGGGACATTGCACTTTGCGACATCATTGCCCAGCACGCCAGGCAGATAGCAGTACTTGCCCAGCCAGCGCTGCTTCAGCGAGAGTTCAAAGCCACACTGATCGACCGAGTGTTTGGCTAATTCGCACATGTCGACCGCGGAGAGCTTGTAGATCTGCGCAGCCACCGAGTACTCCTCGATCAGGGGTTCCTTTGTGAAGGCGAATTGTAAGGGGTCGTCTGTCGACAGCGAGACGTTGAGACCCTTTTTGAAGTAGCTGATGAACGGGTTGCGGTCGTAGGTCAGAAACAGCGCGTTGTTGCTGAGCGGGGACATGGCGATGCCGATCTGCTCGAGGTAGAAGCAGTACTGCAGCAAGGGGACCTTTCGCAACATGATCCCGTGGCTGATGCTGTGACAGCACAGCAATGCGGCGGCGAGGTGATCGGTGTCGCCCGCCTCGCCACAGTGAGGGCGCAGGAGGAAGGTGTTGAAGTTTCTCCGTTTGCGCCAGGCATTGAGAGATGTCAGGTTTGCAAACAGATAATAGATCCAGTATCCGTAGGGTGGGTTCTGCTTGGTGTTCCATTCTTTCGCTGCGGGATATTTGCGATACAGCCGTCGTTCCACCTTACTCTCGTCGTCGACGCTATCGAAGCCGATCACCCGCTGGAGAAAGACGTGTAGTTTGGGATGTGTGGAGGGATCTTGTGTCACCTCAAACAGAGGCTGGAAGATGTTGCGGAGCAGTTGCTCAAAATCCTCCATGGTCTTGAGTGACTTGTACAGGGCGAACAATCGCGGGATCTGTATGAGCCACCGCACATTGTGGGAGAAAAGTTTGTTGTCGACGACCCACGCTGCCAGCGTGTCCCATTCACTCATACTGCGCCCGTAGATGCTGATTCGCCACTCAACCTGTTTACGCAATGGTCAGCAGGGCGAGGCAGAAGCTTCTCCGAGTATTTCCCTTACCATCTGATACTTGCTTGACTCCAAATCCGTGATAACTTCGCGGGTAATCTCGGCAAGATATCTCCCCTTGATGAAGTTGTCGGTCTTCAAAAAGATATCTCTAAGCCGTGACTGTCCGATGGGATTGTACTTCAAGTTGAACTTGTCAAAGCGATGGAACGAGTCCGTATGAGCGTGCATGTCAAGGGTGTCAATGCTCAAGTCGTATGCGGTGAGATTGATGCTGTCGAAGACCTCTTTCAGAGTCAATTCTCTGCCGTCGCGCTCGATCACTATTTCGTCAGGGCACCTTTTCATCTTGCTCTTGATGAAACGCAATAGATGCTTCTGGTTCATGCACGCAGAATGATGCACGTGGGTGTCCACTTTCCTGACGTTGTAAAAGTCTCGGTGAGGTACCTTCTTCGTATCTGCGACCTCTTCATACTCATTCAAGAGAGCATACAGGTTGTAACGCCCTTCTAGATATTGCAGGCGGCGGTAGGCAAAGCTCTTGGCCGGCCCATCGGAGGCGATATCGAGGATCGTATCAAGTGCCATGTAATAGTCCCGCAAAGTCGGAACCTCGACTATTGGCTGATCGTCTTCACCGTAAACTTGATAGACACTTCCAGCATCCATCTCGAAGCGCAAGCTCTTGGCTTGCTTCCCGGGAATAACGCATTCGCTCAAGTCGAAATCTTCGCCAATGGCATGGCCAGGCTTTCTTGCCTTTTTGGCGCTCGTGGGTGACGCCGGACCTCCTCGGTCAGAGCCCGTCTGGCTTGCGTTGGTCGGCCACATGTTCAACTCACCTGCACTCGCGTTTCGTGCCTTCATGTCGATCATGTACAGACTGCTCGACGTGCTGTTGGGAGGGATATAGCCCTGAGGAGGTTCGCGAGCCTTTTGCTCATTCCACACAGGGTTCGGTGGAGGCGGATAGATTTCCCAAGTTTCTTCATCCTTTGGGTTTACGCCGGGACACTGTAACGAGAGCTTGAGATACTTCTGCCTCAAATCCAGCACTGTCTTGATCTTGTCACAAATCGACCGCACTTCGCTGATGATCGATTCATCAGTCGTAGCGAGTCCGCCGGGGCCAGAGCCCAGGCCCATTCCGGCACCAGCGCCGTGCATACCTTCGTGAGCTAGCAGAGGATCCTTGAACTCGTGTGGGAGACCAGGGTGGCGTTTGTGATCCCGTGCAGCGGCATCGGCAAGCAGTGTCGGATCCGGGCGGATTTCTTGATGATTGCCCACATGAGTTTGCAGGGAAGGAAATGACTCCTTGTTATGGTTGAGCTGAAAGCCACTGGGGCCAGTGCCACGTTGGGAGACACGAGACTGCCTGGATGTCATGCTAGGGGTCCGCTGTAGCGTTGCCATTTCTCCATCCATCGCAGAGGCAGGCATGGTGTAGGACTTGCCCAACATCAACGGACTGCCGAAATCCTTCTCGGATTTAGTGTCCAATCGATGCCGCTGATAGATGAGTTTGGCATCGGCATAGGTGTCGCGCTTTTCGGCGGCATAGTGGTAGAAGGGATGGGGTAAGTGCTCGTCTTCTGGGGCTCCTTCTGACGAGTCTGTATAGTCTGATTGAGGCGCTTTCTCCAGTCCTTCAGTTCCTTGCTCGTGTTGGTCTTCTTGAGGTTGCTTGGATCCTCTTCTGGTTGAGCCCTTTCGGGAGCGAGGGGCATCCTTACTTCCGGGCACACGCGAGGATTTCCAGTCGTATACGTCTGCTTCGTCGTCCGAGTCAGTTGTACCACCGTGCGGCGTGTGGTGTAGTGCAGTGCTGCGGGTATCCATGGTCACTATGTTCTAGCCTGTGCAGTGGAATGTAGCCACCCTTGTCAGTCAAGAATGAGGCCAACTGGGTTTTGTACTGTCTTTGCTTAGACTCTAAGAAACATGGCACACAGTCTATTGTAGCCACCTGAGCAGTATAGTCGAGAAGACAATTTGTTTTCCAGCAGGAACCTGTCTTGCCTGCTGAGGAAATATAGGTAGATAGCATCGAGTCGAGGAAAGGAGTTGTAATACTAGTGGAAAGCTTGTGGTTCTTGGACCGCGGGATTTCTTGGCGTGGCTTTTAGTACTAGCGGCCATCGGATGTGACTTGGTTACTAAGCCAGGTTGGTCTTAATTGACTCCAATTGGATCCATTTCAACGCCTCGCCTCGTTGTCGCCCATTTTGACGGCCAGCACCACATGTCGATGGGCGCTTGAGGGATTCTCATCTGGATATACCTCGTACAAATATATACTCGGTATATGAGGGCCGGCGGCAAGAGGAAACACGTATTGGTAAAACAGGGATCCAACCCCAAATCTAAATCTTGACCCTCAAAGGTGACACATCTGTCTTCCAAAGGTTTTTATACAAGATCAAGAACCATATAGCCCCCCATACTCCGCCCTATGCGCGCTGGCTAACAAGACAAGAATCAACACTTCACAGTACCCTGACGAAACTTCATTTCGACCCGTTCAATGCCCCACAAATCACCTTGACCAGCCACGCATCCCCGGTATAGGAGGAGCACGCTTGCTTGATCGAGGTCAACTCATCACTGTCGACATTGAGATCGTCGATGTCGGTGCCATCCACGACAATATCATCGACAACGGCGTCATCATCAAATGCCTTGTCCGAAGTATCGCCTGGTGGCGAAGTTGGCTTCGACCCCTTCGTTGAGCTTGTTGGTGAGTTGGTCGCGGTTTGCTTAGAGTTCGTGGTCGAATGTCCTGGGGACAGCGCTTCAAGAGGTTTGCCATGTAGCTTCCAACCTTTAAGCCCCGCCCTGATGTTGTCCGGCGGGTCTTGCGGCCCCAGCCACGGCGCTTTCCACCCTCCAGAGATACTGGTCGGATGTCCTGTGCTGTTGGCGACACAATATTTCGAGTTGAACTGTGTCCCTTTTCGCTCTTTGAAAGCCACGGTTGCGACTCGTGACCAAATGAAGGTCGGGTCATACATCATTTCTCTCGTCCACCAGAGCCGACAGTCGGCTGCCTCATACACAAACTGAAGCGGGGTGGCCGTCTGTTCACCATACCGAAAGTGGTTGCAACCATTTACTCCACCGGCACCCTGTTCGTCCAACGTTCGCGCCACCGGCTCGTAGGTGAAATCCTCCCAGATTGTGCCGTTCGCAAGCTCCGAGAACGTACTGTTGGGACTGTGAAGGAGATCGACCCATGGTATCAACCGAGTAAATGGGAAGACCTGGCTGCCTTTCACACCGCCAACCGCTTGCATTGGCCCTGTTTGTGGTCGACCTCCCACTGTAATAAACTGCACACCGCTGTAACTTTTCAAATACTCTGATACCACTGTACAGGTACTTGCACAAAAGCCGTCAGTGAGCACGACAATGTCCTGCGCCGCAAACGGTTGTCGAAATCCCGTACGATTATTCGTCCCTGTAATGATGATGCCGTTATCTTGGAAGTTGGTGTAACCCGGATCCGTGTAGTTGACCTGGAAGTAGGCGCTGAAGTTCCCACCGTTCGCGGGGTAGGGCCCATAGTATGTCTCAAAATCAGGGAAGTCGTAAAACTGGTGGCTTACAATCGACTGGTACGCCAGTGTGTTATATGCAACCGTATCGTATTGCTCGTCACTTTCGTCGTCGGTTTTCGTGGCATTCGAATACATCTCGGACGCAGCATTGCCCAAGATCCAGAAGCCAAGATGGTCCCGCACATTCGACTTGTCAATGGGCTTGATGGATGGGAAGAGTTGGGCGTAGGTGTCGGTTCCAAGGACAACAAAGCCACCTGGATAAGAGTTAACACCTCTAGTGAGTTAGTCACGACCAAGTACTGACCTGGATTGCCCTGAAGGTCTACGATCAACTTTTTCTTCCCGGTCTTGACCGCTGCATCGAGAAACTTTTCTATCACTGACTGAAATTCTCTTTCATAATCGTCCCCACTGGACTCCGATTCGAACTCTCGGATCTGAAGAACAGCCACATCAGTCAGGCCAGTCTCGTTCAGATAGTACCCAGCTACCGAATCAGCGCTGTGCTTGATCACTGGATATGGGAAGTTTGCAATGGTAGGTGAGCTTGGGGCTGCCTCGGTTGTTGTGGGGGCCTCTGAGGTGGTTGGACTTGTGCTACTGGCAGAGGATGTGGATGTGGCTGTGGCCCGTAGCGTCTCTGTGTCAAAGGCACCGTAACACAGCGAGGAGTAGGCATCGTCCCCCGTATGGACACCATCAAGAAGCACGTTGACGACAGCGATATTGGGATATTCGCGCGTAGTTCCATTCGCAAACGTAATGTTGGTTGAAGGCCCTGGGTAAAAAAGGGAGGCCCGGAATGAGTCGTCCCGCTGTGAAACCAAGTTGGGAGTCAGTTGATTCCATAGGGAGTCCGGGTCTTGACCCGCGCGAACCATAGATTGGGTCAATAGAAAGGTAACGACATCGACGCCGTCAATACTCGTGACTGGGGAAGGAGCATATCCGGTCACAGGGCGAGGCAGGCCAGTTTCTTCATCCGACAACACAAGATCATCTATCATCTGTTAGTCGAATTCTCACATGGTTTCACCGTCGAATGCTGCACTTGCCCCTCAGGTACACTTGTGGTTCCTCGACTCCGTCTGAGGAGATGGTAGCCAGGCCATCCCCGGCAGTGCGAAGAAAGGTGAAGGAGGAAAACAAGTCGATCTGGAACGAAAGGTGTCCATCCCGTGCCGAAGTCAACAATGCAACTATTTCCGCCTGCATGTCATATTCACTCTGATATAAGCCAGCCTCCACCTTCTTTTGTATACTGTTCAAACCCCCATCGAGATCGACGGCGGGAAAGAGGTAGCCCGACGGCGGGTTCAGCAGATATTCTTTGTTGCTTTGAAACTCGAGATACGTCCGCAAAGAGTTCAGGAGGCGGATCGCCGGCTCTTGGTAGTTCGGCACGGATTTCATGCATTCGTAGGCGAGTTCGGCAGGTATCTGTGCTTTCTCCCGGTCAGGATTTGCGGATGCGAATGCTGATGAGGCACTGGATGCAGCAGAACAAGCTGATCCCTTTGGTATTGTTCCGGTTGCTCGGGGCAGGATAGCCGGAGGAGAGGTGACGATGTTGGCACCGACGGTGGCCTGGACCAATGCGATTGCAAGGGCGCACGCTTTCCATACGTTCTTTGCCATGGATGGTGTTGGATTCAGCTCGTCTCCCACGGCGACCTCAGGCTGGGCGCTGTTCAAGACAAGGCTACCCGCTCAAGGAGAGAAAAAAAAGAGAGAGGGATTGAACGAGAGACTCCGACGATAAGGCAATCCGCATTGCAGGTAAGGGTTCCCATCCATTTAATAACGAAATATCTTTCAACAGAAGTCCGAGAGTCAGGGAGAATGGGCCGTAAGACTATCGGCCCTGCTTTCTGTGCAACAGGAACCCGGTCCACTTAGCAGATCCGCGAGGATCAAAGGATCGAAATCATCTGTGGCTGGAAGAGAGACATCAGTCTCCCTATCGGATGCATTCTGCGCCCCAGAAGGATTCACATTTGAGCTCGTGAATACGAAGTTCCGCAGCAGGACTCAAGCCTCGACTGCGCATATGCTGCGGCTGAGCCTTGGCCCCCAAATTTGGAGACTTTCGGCCCGGTCTCGCTTGTGCCACGAGCAAATCAAGAGAGGCAATAGATGAGAGCTAAGAGAGGGAGGCGAGATTCTACAGAGGAGTTACGAGTACCTCTATACCTCGGGCGGAGATATGATGATGGAACCCGCACAGAGTAAGATGGAGCAATTCCATGTCCGTGCGCCCTGCAGTTACTCGATTGGTTTTTATACATGATTGTCAAGCAAGCAGTATAGCTATATAGGTTGGAGGACATGTATACTCGTACATCTGGTCACTCAGACCACATATTGGCTACTCGCATATTGCGACACACAGGATTCAGCGTTTCAAGGAGCAGAGTAAGCGTATCCAGCAACTTGTCCATCTCGAGTCAATGGATACCTGATTAATAACATTGGTAGAGTTTCGAATCACTCGTCTTCCAGCGTGGATATGTGGCAAACAAGTGCTACTCGTGCTGTGGATGCAACGGTGTATAATAATAGGAGATTGACGAACCCACCCTCCACCACAGAGTAATTTCCTCATGCTATACCTCGTACTAATGACTGAACACGTACCTACGACTAGAGGGACAGCGCTAGGCGCTTAGCATTGTTTTCTCAGGCTTTTGATACTAAGCCTCCAGCGCCTTTTTGTTACAAACGTGAAGCAGATGGGGGAAAGTTCTCCGTACTGTGGCATTCTCTGATCCTTCAGGTTTCGTGGTGCTTATGAACAGAGTATGAGGGACTTTTCCCGATCCCTTTCCTTTCAATTAGGGGGGCCATCATATAGTTGGTCACCACCTCCCCGGAACTCTCACCCAAACCTGCATAAAATGAATCACATCTGATTGAGCAAGTTGAGTTACGACTCCTCCAATTCCAACACAAAACGAAAAAAACTCCCCCCCTGGCATGGGAAAAAAAGGGTCGGAACTCCATCTCCAGTGGTAAACCGTATTCCAACCGCCGTCCCAACTTTGGCCAGCCCATCATACATTCCTCTTGTGTATCCTGTACAGTACAAAGTCACAAGCCATAGATTCGCTTTCATCAGGGCTCATTCGAGTTCATCGTCACTCGCCGCCTCTCCGCAGTCGCCTATGAGATCGCTGCCTTGCTTTGATCGCTTCGTCTGTAAGAATATCATCCGGGAGCTCAAATTCTTCCTCGGAAAAGTCGGGAATGGGATGACCAAAAGCAAGAATGGTCCGTCCCCTCTGACGACCCGCGACCGCTGCGTCTCGCAAATGTCGTTTATCGAAAAAGGAAGTGAACAACTTCGGCGGCGAAGCGTCGGGCCACTGTGCAGGTGTTGGTTTTCTGCGTTTGTTGGCAATCTTTGCTTCCTCGATCAGTTGTTGCGATGCAAGTGCATCGAGCTCACTGGAGTTTGGAGCATGGCTTGATGCACTGTCAAGACTGCCCTCCTCCACGCCCGAGCCGTTGTTTGACCCTTCAGTCTCCGCGTTATCGCCTTCGTCCTCATTTTCTGCTTGGTCCTCCAACACGGCTGCTTCCAGCAACTCTTGCTCTCGCTCCATCTTTCTGCGCTTCTCTTCCTCTTTCCATCTTTTGAACTTGTCAATCAAGGCTTGGGTTTCTCGTATGAAAAGTAGTCGTTTGGGCTCGTAGCGCTTCTTCTCTGTCTCGGTAACGCCGGTTATTCCAAGGGTTTTCAACCAGTCTGGTCCTCGCAGGTCGTCGAGGAGTTTCTCCAATTGGTATTTTTCGTGCTGGGCTCGTTCCCTATCACTATTCTTCATTTGCTTCTCATGCCTTTCAGCCTTGGCATGGATCTTGATGTATACATCCTCGCTCAAAGGGTCGACTGGCTCAGCACCGACAGGGTCGTCCGGTGGGTTCAGGCGGATGACTTGTGTGTTGTGAAGCGGCTTGTGCGCTCCAAAAGGGTCAGACTTGGGCTGTCTCGGCTCGAAGTCAGGTGTATCGTCAACCAAGACGATCTTCGTTCTGACGGTCAAAGCTTCTACTGGAGGTCAGTAAGAGTCTTAACCAGAAGTTACAAAAAAGCCATACCTGGATCGGGGGGCTTCAGACTCAGCATCTCCTCAAAATCTGGGAAATACTGCGCAAGCTCCGTTTTAGCCCGAGACCCTCCATCCTCTGAGCGTAATTTTCGCCGGTCCTCATGGTTTGTGGACAGACCGCCTCCTCGAATTGCGGCTCTCGCCTTCTCTTCGATAATTCTGATCTGATCATATTGTGATTTTTCGCCTGGGGATAGAGGCGAGTCGATGGGGGTGTTGTTGATATGTGTGGTATTTGCATTGGCCGCAGGCGTGGGAGGCACTCCAGTCGGGGTGGCGGCGGGAGGTGGTGAGAGGGCTTTAGGTAAACCCCCTCGACTGCGTAGCGGGATACGTAACTGTGGTATTTCGCCCTTGTTGGTCGACAACCGACGTCTTTTCAGGTCGTGCTCGGGTGTGGCAACAGTGGCAGCTCGGAGCCGTTTCGATCTGACAGTGATGCCTTCATTGCCAGATTTGGGGAGGAGAGGTGGTGGTTCGTTGTTGGTAGGACTGTTGGACGTTGCTTTGTGGCCTCGTAGTGTAGGGCGCCTCAATGACGACCTAGAGCCGGCCACCATGGTATGCACTGTGTTCGGAAGCTCATGATGCTGCTAGGGAGACGGTGAAGAATATGCTCATTCGCGGTGAGGAGAGAGAGAATCGATTCTGGATTGTTGGTCAAGCCTGCTGCAAGGTGAAGTCAAACTGCGCTCTCGGTTTCAGGGCTCAAATGGGCGCCTGCCGCGTAAAATTCATGTCTCGCGGTGCCCGCAGGTTCTAGGTGATGGCGGATCTAGGCACTGGAGCACCCAAGCAAAGTCAATCTCGTTGTCACCCAAGGGCTCTCCAGCTTCTACTGCACAGTACAACCTGTATTCTGTGTCAGAATCGTGCCACTTCTAGTACTTTCAATTCGGACGGCCAGGTCTTTGCTGATGGGTAAATGCACGCGTCATAAGGATAGATTTCTGTACAGAAATGGGCTGTCTGACAAACGCCCAGAATGCCTCCTGCGGCTGCTAGCCTACGCATGGCATGCGGGATCCTGAACGCCCCCCTTCCTGTGCCCTTTGTTTTATTTCTCCCTTTCCTTGCCATCAGAGCTCCCAGACCTTGATCCCGTTCCTGTGTCGTTACTTGGGGTGTCTTGATATGTTTCTTCATCACTGTAGAGATCGTCATCACTCTCGCCCGCAAATGCATCATACAGTTCGCCGCCTCGTCGAGCCCTTCCCTTGGCTCGTCCTCCCCGTGCGGTCAAGCCTTGTTGCTCATCCTCATCTGCATCGCCAACCATTTCAAACTCGTATGCATCGCGGGGGTTGTTTCGAAGCCTTTTCCTTCGTTGGATCAAGAAATAGATTCCCAGGCCCATACAGAAGAGTATGATCAACACGATTGAGCCGTATATCCAAATCTGTGTGCGCTTCGATACACCAAAGGTTGGGAAAAACGAAGGAAGGAAGCCATCTGAGTACTCGCTGGGTTCACCCGTCACTGTCGCTGTGGCAGCAGGCACAGACACCGTATTGGTTGCCGTGACAATGACCACAGAATCTGTTGCATCGGTAGGCTTAGGCTTAATAGGCCTGTCAATATGGTCGGTGGGTGTTGTGGGAAGCCCAGTAGGTGGAGCTCCAGGCTCCACACTGGTTGTGCTAACAATGACGGTGGCAGTTTCATGGTCGTCGTCATGCTCGTCAGGTAGTGGGTGAAGCGTCTGAATCTGTGGATTGATACATTCACCCCATAAATTCAGACGCCAGTCGATAAAGGTTCCATTGAATTCATTCTTCTGGGAATCTTTGACAATCACAGTCCAGTTGCCAATCCCAGACTCACCCCTATTGTGGTATTAGTCACGAATGGGGCGGGAACAGTCTGTTGCAGCTTTCACTTACCAGTGAACCACCGACATGAACGTCCAGTCATCATACCCTTCTGCGGCTCCGTCTGGACCACGGGAGGTCGCGATTTCGCTGACCAAGCCACTGGGACTGATCAGATCTACACTCAAATCACCTCTCCTGGTGTGCTCAACATTCATGGTTACAGTGACGTGTTCGAGTCTTTCCAGGTTGGCCTTGTTCAGCATCTCCTTGGTGACTTCGAAACTCGCAGCCAGTCCTTGCTCACCCTCCGGTATATCATGCTGGACGCTGAGCCAGGGTGAGTGGAACCAAGCCTGTGGCTTGACTGTTTTCCACGTCTTAGCAGCCTCGACGAATCTATAAGCGTCGATTTTGCCATACCCGTAGGCGTGGCTGAATCTCTTGCCAATGGTCGTGTTCTGCCAGCTTCCGTCGTCTTCGTGTATGGGGATGGCGGTCTCAACGCAAAGATATTGTAGATCTCGCCAGGTAAGGTCTGGCCGAATGCCGAGTGCAAGTGCTACTGTGCCGACAACGAGCGGGCCTGCGGCTGATGTCCCGCCATGGCCATTGTAACATTTGTCGACCCCAACATCGGTAGTGTGGATGGCGTCCTGATTGCCGGAACTATATGTCACAACTAATTGTGCGGAGCAAGCTTCGGAGTAGTAGGGATGGTTACCGGCACGGTCAATGCCTCCGACCGTGATGCTGTAGATGCTGTTGGTATAACCATCAAAGTTGCAGTTGTCCTGACTTGCCGCTCCGTTCCCGGCCGCAAATACGAAAACAGACCCTAGGCCGTTTCGACCATTCTGAATACCATTGACCATGGCCCGTTGGATGAGAAGACCCGGGGCTTCCATGGTTGCGCCATCGTCCGGTGGACCCCAAGAACAGGAGTAGATCTGATTGTCCTGGTAGTGGTAGTTTATGGCTATCGCCTCGTCTTCATCAGTGATGGGTTTTGACAAGATTCGAATGCCCGCGACTTTGCTGTCATAGGCCATCCCCACGCCGCAAACGTTATTTCTAACAGCGGCAATCTCTCCCGCACAGCGGGTGCCATGTTTGTCATCAAAAAGTCGCGGCTTCGGTTCGGGAGAGTTGTCGTTAAAGTCCCACGAACCTTCCGCATAATAGTTGTCCTTGAGGTCGTTGCTGTATAAGTCCAGTCCATCATCGATAACAGCAGAAATGGTACCATTACCAGTAATGCCCTCCAGCCAGAGACCAGTGACGTTCAGATCGTGACCAAGCTGCAGAGGATTGAATAGGTGCCACTGCTCCTTAAAAATAGGGTCTTTGATCTTTAGAGTGTCTGCGATTGTGTTCAAACGCTGAATTGCTTCTTGCTGCGCTTGTTCCGACGATCCATCAGACTCTGGGTCCACTGCGTCCTGGCGTACACGACCGGCCGGGAGAGGTGGAGGTATTCGCTTGACATGGCGATGTCGCAACTCTTGCTTCTCCAACCAAAGAACATCTGTAAGATCCGGGGATGTTTCTGCTCGCGGAGCCAATGCATATCTGCCGTCTAAGGAGCGTCTCCTTCTCTTCTTTCTCCTCTTTAATTCTTGTAACGCATGCTCCAACTCCTGACAGGAGCTCTTCGAGCATGAAAAAGAATAATGATGGCTCAGTTCCCCAATCTGTCCTTCAAAATTTATCCCTAGTCGATCCGCAACTTCTTGAGGAACCGCGGTAGGGTGGAGGTGGAGGGCAAAGTAGTCATTCTGGTCATGGTCGCGCGGCGTCGCTTCGGTGAACCCAGTCAGAAGGAGGAGTGGAAGCCATACTGGAAGCCGCATGATAAAATGTATAAAGGGGAATCACTCCAGAAAGCCAGGCATACCTCACACGATAGGTGAAAGAGTGTTGTCGGTGCCTAATATATGACAGATGGTGCAGGTTTCGGAGTGGTCCAATTCGACTCGACTCGATTGAGAAAGCGTTGCGTTCGAAGATGCGAAAATCTCAGGGCACAACTGAGGAAACAGAAGAAGATGCGATCGATCCGGTGAGTGTACGCACGTAGAATGGGTGCTGGTGGTGGATTTGTGAAACGTGGGACAGACTGACGGTCTGGCAATGTTGATATTACAATGGGCGCAGTCAAATTGAGGACTGGCGCGTTCAGAGAATGGGCAAAGACAAAGCAAAGGAGTGCGATTATGTCTTTATTAGGAGTTGACGGTAATCTTTTGACGTTGGAGAAGGGACCTAACAGTCTTTCAAGGTCACAGAGAAATAGAGCAAGAGGTGGCTCTCTGGAATATGTTAGATACAAAAATATTGTTCCGGATGATGGGGATCCTGACACCTGCAGTCATGTAGTTACACCCGCATCGCAAGGAATTGCTCCTGGGTGCATATCTGGCAAGTTTGCCGTGTGCCAACTTGGTCGTAGTCCCCTGGTGGAGTAAGTATTCCGCTACTTATCGGTCAGGTCATTGGCCCCGACAAAGCCCCATGGGTGCCAATTAGCAGCCCCCTTGGAGGGCTAACTAAGCGGCCCGCGCCTGGGACCAATTTCTCCCTGTGAAAGGGCCGTGGCTACAGCTGGACTTTGTGACGAATCCGAAGCTCCACCCGGGCCCGGTGTCGCGAGATCTTGAAAGTTGGAGTTCCTCGCCTCTGCGATTGACGTGGTCGACCAAAATACCACATTTTACCAGCCACACAGACCATGTGTCCGGCCTACGGGGCACCTACCTTTCTTTCCTTTCCTGCGTCAATCGATCTGCGGTGTCTGCTTGAAGTGTTCTCTTTTTCTTGTACATAATGACATTGTTGAATTGAGGCTTCAGGTCATTTTCTCGCTGTCCAATTATCATTGTGCTACATTGCTCTTCTCCATTCCCATGTGAAACTGTCCGGAACAAACATTTTGTATCCTCTTGAACGGGGCGTCTCATTTCGGCCATCGCTTTGAACGAAGCCAGACTTATCATATCAATCAAGTGCACGGATGTACCTGTCCATGGCTACCTCTGTCACTTGCGCCCATCTCTAGGCCACTTCCCGCCGCGAACTTGAGTCTCGTCGCAGCCTGATTCTCCATCTCGATCTCGACCCAACCACTATGGCTACCTCCATGAATCCAGTCGACCTTTACCACGATCCAGCCCTAGATTTCCTGGTCGCTCAAAATACCGCGCGCAATAGACAAAGTGGCTCAGGTCGTCGAAACAGCGGAGGACAGGGCAGGCGACCGCTTTCTCAGAACCTGGAGAATACATTACAACCCCTTCCTGCTGCGCCTGAAGTGCCTCGTGGACCTCCCATCTCCTATCGAGGCCTCGGCCAGGGCGGGGATCCCGGCCTACAGCGCTCTTTCTCCCAGAGAGCTAAGGGCAGACCCTTCCATAGAGAAGCGTTCGAGGACTTGGAGGATGAATACCCTGAGGAAACTGCCAAACCTAAACAGCGTATAGTATCCGAGCCAGTGCGCCGGGAACCCATACCCAGCGTCTCTCGAAAACCCGCACCGCCCGATGGTTTGAGACTAAACACTGCGGACCTCAATGGCTCGAGCGCTGCAGATCCACCGGGAAGGAACACTGAGTCAACTCGCGAACCCTCCTACAACGAGCCAAAATCTGATCAGAAGGCTCGTCGGACGTCTGAGACTTCGCGCCGAGTGGATGAGCCTGTGTCGTCTGTCAGCAGATCGAGTGCTCTCCGAGACGAAACTCATAGAAGGG